TGCCTATTAATAAAGGCTTTTGGTTATTTTGTACCCCGTACGTCAGCTGTTGCTCTGGGCTTTGGGCCCTGGTTGCACCCTATTATTTGCCCTCCCAGGAGAAGCTCAGAAGTTGACTAGTAAAAAACACTACCACCTTATCTTTGTGCAGATGGCCAGAAGATGTCATAACGTACCATTCCACTTTCTAAATATCCTCAGTGGGAGCTTCACATAATAGTACCTACTCAGCATCATAGAGAACTCAAGAGTTTTGTGACTGCCTCATCTACCTGGAGTAAAGCAGTTCCTTATAATAAACATGGTATCCTGAGAACAGATGTTTATTATAAAGAACTGATTCATTGTGCTATTTACTCTTATTCTAGAGTTCTCAGGAATCAAACTCAGGAATGCAGTTCACATTTCCATTCTTGTTCATTTTTAAAAATTTGCCATGGGGAGGTGTACTATTATTATAAAAGAATTCCTCTATTTTTATTGAAATCGCTATTTCTAGACAGAACATTTCATTTAAATAACTAATCAGCTACTCTGTCTCCTGGGGATTTATTAATAGCTAATTTTAACAAATGAAGAAGCTGTAGCATTTAGAGGTTTATTGGTCTGCCATATGACAATCAAAAATAGGTACACTTTACTCCTTCACAGAGAGTTTTCCAAATACAATCTACAATTCAATCTAAGGAGTTTTCCAAATACAAAAAAAAATTGGTTAGCATGGACTTGTTAAAACTGAATATAGGCAATTGACAAAGCTAATCTAAAAAAAACATCACAGTGCAGTCAATGATCTTTGAGCTTGTGGTTCTTGTGGATCAGTTTTTGTTGTCAGATAAAAGAATGAGGCAGTGATTGTGGTGATAAAATGCATCTCTTTGTCTTTTCTTAGAAGTAACTGGTAGCCCCAATTCCTGACGTTCTCTTGTACCTACTCAACCTAATAAACTTCTGCCTTTAATCTTGGATGACAAATAGCACCTTAATCACAGTAGTTACACAAATGGGCACCATTTCTTTATGGTACTTGCACTTCAGTTCCTCTTCCTTTTGCCACCCTATGCTTATTGACATCCATGGTTCATGATTTTTAGTTTCTTTCAAATGCAAAGAAGGCTGTGGGGTGGTACCCTTTGAGATTAACGCAACTTCATTACGTATCGGAAGAGTATGTTCGCCTCTAAGAATTGAGGGGCACAGCCAATAAAATGAGTTCCTTCATTTATTAGTAATCAGAGTAGTTATCCCCTTCCAGCTCCTCTCCCAGTTCATAATAATGTGCTCTTTAGAGGTATGAGAGCTTCTTTTGTACATTCTTTCCTTGGGATGGGGGGTGATTGTTTTTCTCCTTCTCTCCCAAATCTGGAGTGTTTCTTTCTACCAATGTAGACTAGCTCTACCTCAGAAATTCTCGTGAGAGAATTAGAGTACAATCTCTCGGTGCTACTGTGCTTATAGCACTGTAACAGATACTAAATGACCATAACAGGACAATATGCTTTATGATTTATTCCAGAAAAGGTGAGTTTTACTTCCATTGAAGGATTTCTCTCCTATTTACAGCTAATCTCTCTTCCTGAGCCTATCCTCTTCCACCTTTCCAGGAACCCCACACATCAACTATGCCTATTTTCTCAAGGTTTACTCAACTAGTCCTTATCAACTGAATCCTTCCCAACATCATTTTAACACGCTCTAATCTCACACAGGAGCCCTGATGACCCAGTGGTTAAGAACTCAGCTGCTAACCAAAAAGGTCAGCAGTTTGAATCCACCAGCTGCTCCTTGGAAACTATGGGGCAGTTCTACTCTGTCCTACAGGGTTGCTATGAGTCCTAATTGACTTGATGGCAACAGGTTTTGGTTTTAATCTCACACAATTTAATCAAACCAAAGCAAAACAAAATACCACCTCGATCTTATACTTCTTTTACTGCCTTATCCCTTTCTTTATCTATAAAATCAAACTTTCTTGTACTTCCATCTCCATTTCTTTACTTCTGCCTCATTCTGGCCTCTGCTATCACTATTCCAAACAAACGTGGATAAAGTTACTAAAGCCTTCCCACATCACTAAATCCAATAGACATTTCTTGTGTTCTCATTTCACTTGATGAGGAAGTACTGATCTCAATAAGGACTTGATAGTGTTGAAACTTCCTTTTGGAAACACTGTTTGCTTCTGTTAATTTTCCTCTTGTCTCTTGCTGCTCCTCCTCTCTCTCCTTGTAGGTTCATTTTCCTTTAACCAAAAACCAGTTGCTGTTGAGTTGATTCTGACTCATGGCGACCCAACGTGTGTCAGAGCAGAAGTGTGCTCCAAAGGGTTTTCAATGGCTGATTTTGTGGGATTAGATTGCCAGAACTTTCTTTCGAGACACCTCTGGGTGGACTGGAACTGCCAGTCTTTCAGTTAGCAGCTGAGCATGTTAACGGTTTGCACCACCCACGGACTCCATTTTCCTCTACAGGCAGTAAATGTTGCAGTACCTCAAGACTATTTTCTAGATCTTCCTCTTATCTCACTCTAAACTCAGTCCTAGGCAATCTCATCTAAGACCATGACTTCATTTGTACTGACAAATCCCAAATAAAGTTTTAGGTCAGACTTCTCTGATATAACACGAAGTGAATTTACCATAAAAGTGGGGTTCCTTTACTTCCAATATCTCTATATTTAATTCTAAATCTTCCCAGGTGTGATGGTTAAGGTTATGTGTCAACTTGGCTAGGCCACGATTCTCAGTGGTTTGGCAGATATTATGTAATCACTCTCTATTTTGTAATCTGATGTGAGCAGCCAATCATTTGAAAGGGGAGTTTCCTTGAGGGTGTGGCCTGCACCCAATATATATAGATGTTCTGGCAAAGCTTGCCTTCTTTGGATCCTGCATCCTACTCATCATTCTCTGACCTCTGGTTCTTGGGATGTGAGCCAGCAGCCTACCATCTGACCTGCTGATTTGGGGTTCATCAGCCCCTCCAACCACATAAGTCAGAAGCTTCCAGCCTGTTGTCTGACCTATGGATTTGGGACTTGCCAGCCTCCACAACTGCGTGAGTCATTTCCTTGAAATAAATCTGTTATATATATGTACACACACACACACACACACACACACACACACACACACACACACACACACACACCCCTGGTGGTGCAGTGATTAAGAGCTTGGCCGCTCACCAAAAGGTCAGCAGTTCGAATCCACCAGCCACTCCTTGGAAACCCTATGGGGCAGTTCTACTCTGTCCTATAGTGTTGCTATGAGTCGGAATCAACTCGACGGCAACGGGTTTGTTTTGGGTGGTTTATATATATATGCTTCACTGGTTTTGCTCCTCTAGAGAACCCAGCCTAAGACACTAGGAATGAAAAGACCTCTTCATTCAGCCCTCTCAACTCCAGATAACAACAAAACAATAGAAAAACACCTATCCCTCCCTCCCTCCAAGTCTCAAGTCTTGTTGATTCTGTCTGCTAAAAACTCTCTCAAATCTTTCCTCATCTCCTTTGCCACCATCCTAGTCAAAAACAAGGCAGCTTTTTTATTTCCACAATAAAAAGTTAACTACCTAGCGCTAGAGAGGGCTATAGTTATTTGGGTTTAAAATAATTTTTACTAACATTACAACTTTTAAAACCTAGTGTTCTGTAAGTCATTAGTTTCAACCTACAAAACTTGCTATTCTCTCTGTAAATCTAGACATATAACTCCAAATGTCACTTTATTTGTATGTATGCCTAGTAGATCTTTGAATCCACCATGCATAGCAGTGCCTTGAAAACACACACACACATAAATAAATGTTTGTTGGATGAATACATGTTCAAAGTTAGTTCTTTTTCCCCCCTTATATTCTCTCCAACTTCCTCTTTGGTAAAAATTAAAGTTTTCTATCTTAATGCTTAGGTGTTACCCCTGATTATAAACTACAAGTTTTCCTTTCTAAACTTTTAGGTTTCTAACCCATACAGATTTACACATTATGGGCTACGGTTGCTGTTACAAAGAAAATGCAGGCAAGAATAAATTTAGGCAGAATCTCCCAACACATCTGCTACAGGGTATGCTTTATAGTGATAAACTGTTATGAAGGACTAACCCTTACTTAGGATTAACCACAGTTTTCTTCTTAAACGGGAGGTTTAAGGAAAAACAAAAATTTCTAGAATTCCTAAACCTTCCAGATGATGAAGCCCTCTTCTCTTTGATATTCAAGTACATAGAGCCAACTTAACTTTTTCTCCGTTCTTTGTTTTTTGGGTGGGAGGAGGGTTTTCTGAAAAACATTTAGCTTTCCTTTGCCTGATGTACCAGTTTCTGTGCAGATGATTCCGACTCCTGACGGCCCCACGTGTGTGAAAGCAGAACTGTGCTCCATCGGGTTTTCAGTGGCTGATTTTTTGGAAGTAGATTGCCAGGCTTTTCTTCTGAAGTGCCCATAGATGGACTCCGTTTCCAAGCTTTCAGTCAGCAGTGTATTTGTACCATCCAGAGACTTAGGTCATGGTGAACAAGTCAAACTTTAAACTGGATAATCTCAAATACCTCAAAAACAACTTATCGGAACAGCGAGGAATTTTTTTTCAAGTTGTTATCAGTTTAAGATACTGAAAAGGTGACTAACATGATCCTTGGGGTTTGTTTTAAAGTAGTCCAGCAAAGAAAAAACTGGGCGGGTGGTGGTGGGGGAATGGGATAAATGAAAAAAGATCGAAAAATTCTGATAATTTCTGAAGTTCATTAAACTCTTCTATTTTTGAACTTTTCCACAATTAGAACGTTAAAATTAGCTTTTTCCATGTTTTTACTCTTAAGAACTCCAGTCCTTATTTTTGCAAACCTCTGCATACCCACTTGTGAATACACAGCCTCATTAGGGGAGGCTTTATCTTTGCTATATACATTATCAGCATATAGTAAGTATCTATAAATTTCATTTTAAAAGAAAGAAAGTTTGGCTCTCAGCACGTTTCTCAGGCTTAGGGATACTAAATCTCCTTAAATATTATCCCAACGTCTTTTTGTAATCAGGGTCCCATAATTCCTTCCAGAAACGGCCCTTTTGCCCCTCACGTCACGCGTTTCGGGGGAACCGTGCAGGTCGTCGGTAGCCGGGTATTGCAGGTCAATACTCTGCCCAGATCAGAAGCTCCCTTGCCTCCTACTCCTCGGGCCTCAGTTTCCCCCAGTGAAAGAACAGCACGGCGGTCGTGCCGGGGATCGGAGGCCCCGCCCAGAGGGCGGAGACCGGGCGGAACGGCGCCTCTCCTCCGCCTCCTCGCGACTCACCGCTGCCCCTGGTGCCCGCGGCGCATGTGCCCGGCGCCCCCTCCCCGGCCCTGGATTCCGCTTCCTCTCCGCTCACGCTGCAGCGGCAGCCGCCTGCAGGCCCCGCGCCGTCTCCGGAGTCCATGGCCGGGACGCGCTGGGTGCTCGGGGCACTGCTCCGGGGCTGCGGCTGTAACTGCAGCAGCTGTCGGCGCACCGGCGCCGCCTGTCTGCCCTTCTACTCGGCCGCCGGCTCCTTCCCTTCGGGCGTTTCGGGCCGCCGCCGCCTGCTGCTGCTGCTCGGGGCCGCCGCGGCCGCCGCCTCCCAGACGCGGAGCCTCCATACTGGGCCTGGGCCTGCCGGGAGCCTGGCGGGTCCTCCTCCCGCGGCCGCTTCTGCCGCTGCCGCGGATGCTGCCTCCTACCCGGCCCTGCGCGCCCCTCTGCTACCCCAGTCGCTGGCGGCGGCCGCAGGCCGGGCGCCGAGCTACAGCCAGGAGTCCAAAACTACCTACTTGGAAGACCTTCCACCACTCCCTGAGTATGAGCTGGCTCCGTCCAAGTTAGGAGAGGAAGTGGATGATGTTTATCTCATTCTAGCTCAAAGATTGCCCTGGTCATGTACTGTGGAAGATGTGCTTAATTTTTTCTCAGACTGCAGGATCCTCAATGGTGAGAATGGAATACATTTCCTCTTAAATAGAGATGGGAAACGAAAGGCTGATGCCTTAATTGCAATGGAGTCAGAGCAGGATGTGCAGAAAGCTTTGGAAAAGCACCGCATGTACATGAGTCAGCGGTATGTGGAAGTATATGAGATAAACAATGAAGATGTGGATGCCTTAATGAAGAGCCTGTAGGTCAAATCTTCACCTGTGGTAAATGATGGCGTGGTTCATTTGAGAGGACTTCCTTACAGTTGCAATGAGAAAGACATTGTAGACGTCTTTGCAGGACTGAATATAGTAGACATTACATTTGTCATGGACTACAGAGGGAGAAGAAAAACAGGGGAAGCCTATGTGCAGTTTGAAGAACAAGAAATGGCCGGCCAAGCCCTGTTGAAACACAGGGAAGAAATTGGTAACCGATATATAGAGATATTTCCAAGCAGAAGGAATGAAGTTCGAACACATGTTGGTTCTCATAAGGGAAAGAAAATGGCATCTTCTCCTACTGCTAAG